GAAGCCCCTGTCTGTGGGCTGTCTCAGTGCACCTGTGGAATAGTGTACCTCTGAAGCCCCTGTCTGTGGGCTGTCTCAGTGCACCTGTGGAATAGCGCACCTCTGAGCCCCCTATCTCTGTGCTGAACAATTGCACCACTGGGTTTCACATCAGCTGGTAGTGGAAGAAATAGATCTTCTCTCAGAGTCTGAGCAAAGTGCCTGCACCTCCCCCCTTTATGAGGAGTAAGCACTGTGTGGCATGTAGAACCTCTTTCTCTTGAACAGGAAAGTGGAAGAGCACCTGGATGAGGCATGTCTGTAAAGCCTGGGTTTCCTCCCTGAGTGGAGTTCTGTGTCTGTGTGCCATGAAGCGGTGTGTGTTAGAGCAGTGCAGCTTGAAGGAGCAAGTTAAACTGAAACACTGCTTTGTCTTGCGGCTTTTAAGCTCAGTAAGGGAATCAGCTGCGAGAGTATATGTTTCTGACTATTGCAGGAGCACAGCAGTCTCCAGCAGTGGCAGCTCAGGATCTCCCTTCAGTCTTCAAGGCAGGATACCTGGAGAAACGTAGGAAAGGTAATGTACTACGACCTGACCACACCCATCCACCCTGGCCACACCCCTTCACATTAACCACACCCTCACCCTGGCCACACCCCTTCACATTGACCACACCCCTTCATGTTGACCAGACCCTTCACTGTGGCCACACCCCTTCAGTCATACATGTTCAAAAGACTGGCAGCAGTGAGGGCAGGTGAAGGGAGGCAATGAGAGGGCTCCAAACTCACCCGAGCGTACTGCTCTCTCCGGCTGCTGGCATCGCTTCCTGCCACACTCACTGCCCCCTGAGCTGCTGGCTGGAGATCTCAATGAGACGAGGAGCGGGAGAGGGAAAGCTCTGACTGAAATGCACAGTTACGGAGAAGGTTAAAACACCAAATCAGAGCTGAAGCGAGCTGCATTTTCATCCGTGGTGCCCATCTTTTGCAAGCGATGTACCTGAGACACAGTAGATGTTTATTCACGCCGGGGTGTTTCTCCACATCTTTCTGTCTTTGTTTTTCAGACCACAGCTTCTTCGGCACCGAGTGGCAGAAGCGCTGGTGTGCTCTGAGCAACCACACGTTCTACTACTACGGGAGTGAAAGGGGTAACGTCTAGTGGTGACGATCGCACTGTGGCTCACGTTTCCCCCCTGTCCTGTGCCAGACCCGCGTGTGCAGATCCCGAAAATTCAGCTTGTGTTCACACAGCCCGTCCTTTCCCAGCCGGCTGGGCACGGCTCCCAGTCCTGCACTGGCCGGCGCAGCCCAGGGGAGATTCTCGATGTCTGTGGCGAAGCAGTCTCACCCACCTTCTGCCCAGAAAGGGCTAAACCTACATTTCAGAAACAAAAAAGAAACAAAATTCTGTAGATGGGCTTTTTTGCCACGTCTGTTTCATCTGAGCAGTTATAAGGAGAATTCAAGACAGATTGAGAAGAGCTGCATCTAGTTCTGACCAGTTTGCTGCTTCTTCAGGAGCCTCTTCAAGCTCAGTGTTTCCCTTCTGACTTACAGTTTGTTTTTGCTAACTGGATATTTTAGTTTGATTTTCTGCCTCCGCAGTATTTGTTAATGCTCCTGTTTTGGTATCATCTGAAATTGTGACTAATTTACTAAGAATCACAAAAATCTAGATTAATGATGTAAATTAGGAAGATCGGTGGTTCTAGTGCAGATCTCTATGTTACTCCGCTAATTGCATCACCGTAGTCTGAGCACTAACATCTGTCCTTTCTGTTTTCTGTTAACTAATTCTCAATCCAAACACACACATTTCCCCAAATGTCTACAAATTGTAATTTGAGAATCTTTTGTGACAAAGTTTAGATTTTCAGAAATATACATTTTTGATAAACACATCCTATCCACCATTGCTTGTTCAGTTACAAGATGATCAAATAAATTTGGTATTGTTTTTGTGCAACTTATAAATTAAAGGTTGGCATTTTATAGTAGCAAATTTTCCCAAAATATGAAAGCTGTAAGAGTAAACAGGTTGTATGATTCATGTTTTCTTGATGTACTTTTTGAACTGCATTGAACCATCGTGTTGCCTAAGTAGAAAATGCAGCATTAAGTCCAGCATTAAGTGACACCAGCTAAGGCCTTGATGTTTTCCACATTGAGCAGGGTCTTGGTTTTGTGTGAAATGTGAACAGTGAGCGGAACTGGCTGTTTATAAAAATGTTGTTTAGAAGAGAAAGGAGGACAGCCTGATCGTGGGGAGTGTTGCTCCTGACCTTTGCATCTTCCCAAAGTGGCCAGAATGGTGAGCAGTGCTTCTCCTGTCTCTCCCACAGACAAACAGCAGAAAGGCGAATTTGCTATAGATGGCTACACAGTCAAGATGAATAATACCCTCCGAAAAGATGCCAAGAAAGATTGCTGTTTTGAAATATCAGCTCCTGACAAACGCATCTATCAGGTTTGTTGCCCTCTGTATCTCATGGAAATGAACTCGGCAAGAGAGTATCTATAGGGATGTTCTGTGGAAATTGCATGCATGTCTTTTGTATTTTTTAATGCCGGTTTATATATTTGTAGGGAAATTATCAAACTCATTATTGCTATACTCATCATTAACAAGCAGAATATCATTCTGTATATTATTAAGTAAGCATGGTAGAGTGAGTATTTTATGAACGTTGTTTTTGATCTTGTGTGGAAAAGCACAGCTGTTACTGAAATATTCTGCATATCGCCATTTTCAGAAGCACATTTTATCTGATAAGAAGGCAGTCTGTTCTTCCTGCACTTTTTGCAAAGCCTTAGACGATAAATTAAGATTCATCTTAAGAGGTGTGTACAGACATCTAATTGTATGTGTGTCATTTTTCTTTCTTGAATTTCGCAACAAAGTCCATCTGTCCAGATTTTGTGGACGGGAAGGTCTTCCTGGCTTTCTCATGCATTTTTACATAATTGACGCTGTGATTGATGCGCTTGTCAAACAGGTTCGGTTTTGAAAAAAATGTAACCGGGGAACGCGGATTGTGAAATTTAGTCCATTGCTCAGTGTAACTGAATAATAAAGACTGGTGCAAGACCTGTCTTCTAATGCTGAAAAAATAAAGTTTTGTGTTGTACAAAGTTGTAATGAAGGTTAGGTCCATACCAGAGCCACAGTGGCTGACCGGGCTCCCAGTCTTAGTTACCTGACCAGAAAATAGAGAGAACGTCAGCCCTCCCACACCCCACCCCCAGCACAGGACAGGTGGGATGTTACCCCCCAGACCTGCAGGTCCCCACTCATACAGCCGGCTGCACTAGAGCAACTGGGGCACTCGAACCCACAACCTGTCCCACACCCCTCCCCTGCCCCCACGCCAGGTGAAAGGGATTAAGTTATTAAGTTTTGGGAGGGGGCAAGGATGCACAGTTTGACCCCAGTCCTGTTTGTCTGAGGTGCGGGTCCCACATTGTGGTTTGCAGCCTGAGATGCATTTCAGATCCGTCTTGGGCCCGGCCAGGCTGCGCTGCTCACTGTACAGCTCCTTCAGCTCTGAGGTGTATTCCTCAGGCAGCGGGTGTGGGGGGTGCAGGTTTCATACATTTCAAGCGTGTTTCTATTGCAGCTGAAAGCCACTTCATTAAGTTGTCAGGTGGAGTGTTAGAACCTGACAGGAACATTTTTAAGAAAATTGTACACAGCAGTCTCAGCGAAACCGCCGATGTCTCTTAATTGTCAAGGGCAAATTGCGCTCGTCAGGTCTCCCTGTGACAGTGACGGAGAGAAGACGCTTCTCCTCGGGACAGCTGACAGCTGCTGATCACAGGATCAGATCCATCATCCTAAACTTCAATTATGTAAATTTGTCAAAATTAACTCACTCTGCGTTAGAAGAAGCGTTCTTGCACAAAAAGTGCCATAAGACATGGAATCAGAAGGTAATGGCATCTTAAGAACGAGTGACATGAGGAAAGTCTGATATTCTGGCTGTTGACTGTCCTCTTGTCTGTGGTCCCAGTTTACTGCAGCCTCCCAGAAAGATGCAGAAGACTGGGTTGAGCAGATCCAGTTTGTGCTGAAAGGTGAGTTAGTCTAACAACCACATCAAAAAGGCCATTAGCCTTTCTTTATTCTTTCTTATGATCATTTTAAAGTTCACTTGAAATTTTTAATTCTGACTTTTTAGGAGCTATGTCTATCAGTAGCTGGTATCACTGGTTCTGTTTGTTCAGTGATGATCTTCTGTGTGAAGGCACCGCTAATGTGTTTTGGATAAAAGCACTAGACTGCTGGGCAAAGGAGCCCAGCAGGTGTAGCTGACAAGTGTTTGGCAGCCCTGTGAAACACCGACCGCTGTGCTCAGGAAGTGGGCTGGTTTATTTCTGGAGGTGCTTGCCGGCTCTGGCATGGGCCCGCAGGAGATTGTTTGGGAAAAGGTCTGGGTGTCTGTGTACGTGTGGATTTCCACTGGCAGTGCCCAGGCAGCTTCTCCGCCTACACTGGCCTTTCCACAGCACCAGGATAAGGGAGTTAGCAACTATGTCTAGCTTGTGTGTGCCTTGTCCTCAGCTGTCACCTACAAACCAGTTACTGTACCTTCCTGCACCAATGGGTTGCAGATTAGAATGCATTCTAGGTTACAGAAGACTGAGAGAGGGGTTCTCTCCTTTTGCTCCTCTCATTGACTGAAGAGGTTTAAATAGGGAAAAGTCCTGAAGAGGCTCAACAGCCAAAACAGTTTTCTTTCTGTTTTTCGGCGTGGAATTATTCTTCACTTGCTCCTGTGCAGCCAACGCGTGCTGACACAGCTCCCCATTCACACCTCTACTGACTAGAGGTGTATCTAATGAAGAAGGCATCAGTCAGCAGCATATGTTTCTGCTTTGTGCTGCTTGTACTTTTTTCTAAACAAGCTGGAGATGTTTTTCCTGGTCTTTGTGCACAGACATGGAGTCGGGCATTATTCCTGAGGACGAAGACGTGGATCCCTATGATGACATTGGGATCGCGGAGCAACAAGCTCCTAGTGCTGCGGAGCCCATTGATGAAGATATCTACGAGGAACTTCCAGGTACGCACACCTGCTGCTTCTTTAATTCAGCGCAATGCATGTCAGCCTGTCAGTGAGTTAGTTAACGGAGAGAGGAGTGACCATGTATCACTGGAGTTCTGCTTGGGCACAGTCACAGCACCCTCCCTGCTGTAGTGTCAGTGAATACAGAATTTCACACAAGGGACCGCAGGGCCTGCCTGACTGGCCCCTGGGCCTGGGCATTGATCATCAGGCCAGCTGCACTGACCGGCTCCAGTCTGAGCCTGCAGCACAGTGAGCCACGAACCCCACTCCCTCCACTCCTCAGCAGAGCATGCTCTGTACACAGTAATAGTAATACTTAAGTAATTAAGTAGTGATTAAGTAATTAAGACAATTGTTTTTTTTCCCCTGTAACAGCTATTTAAAACAAACACTGTCAATTCACCGTGGGAAGAGGATAAATATATTTTGTATTTTAAAAAATTGCTTTTACTGTTTGTAGCCTTCTGTCATTAATCAATTACACAAGTAAATGAAAAAAAAAAACATTTCCTGAAGTAGTTTTCTCAGGCAAGCAATAATTTTTTCATCGATCCCTCGATGCCGGGAAAGGATTGCTTTCTACTAGTGTGTGGCGTAGAAGCATTTTACTTTATTCAAGAGAGATACTTCAGCAACATTACGAATAATTTACCATCATCGCTTGCCCTGTTGATCTCTCTCAGTTGTTCAGCAGCTGCACAGTCATTGTTCTGTGTACAACAGGAAGCCACAAACCATTACATGCTCACCTACATAAAATTAATGGGTCTGCTGTTAGTGTATGAACTGTGCAGGCAGCACAGCACCAATCCATCTCATCTGGACAACAGCACTAACAAATACCCTTTGCCCAGAAAGCATCTTAATAAAGAAATGGATGCTCCCCTCTTCTGCCAGTTAGACAGCTTAACAGGCCAGGAGGAGCTGAGAGAAACCTCTGATGTTTCTGAGAACAGCAGAACTGATTTCTCTTATTTCCTCGGATGATTCTTTGGACAGCACAGACTCTATCAGCTCCCCCTGAGATACATGTACTTAGGTTATGGATACAAGAAGGTTCCCAAAGTCCCTTCCATACAGGAGAGGACCCCCTTCATTTGTGGAATTCATTAGGTAGTTTTACCTTCAATAGTAACCAGCAACTAGAAGCCACTAGGGCATCTCTTCAGTATTTCTGGACATAATGTACAAGTATAATCTTCACAGAATTTGATTTAGTCATTTGCAGATATATTGCAAAACATTTTTAAATCAGAAGTCTTCAACATGCATGAGGGAGCAGAATCATAAAGAGAAATCAGATACAAAATATGAACTTGAAAATGAATATCGGCTTAATCTAATGGCAAAATAAGTTTCACATTGGAATGATTCAGCCGGAGACAGTTACAAGCATTTTAGAACTGCTAAAAGTGAATTTAAATAAGCTTATCGAAAGGAAGATGAGCAAGATCTGTGGATTTATAACCGATAAAGACATATAGCAACTGCCATTATCTCCTCCCTGTTCAGCCTTTCAGTAAATGAAAAGCAAACCTGTTTTAGCTCTTATTCTGGACATAATGTGCAAGTATAATCTTTCCACTTGAGTGCCAAAGACAATCTAATTAAATCCATGTGGCATCAGTTCAGCATGTGGCCCTATGGGTATAGATTACTCCCATCATAGAGCTGACAGGGCATAATGTTGTTTGGCAAGTGGATTAGAGACTGTTGCAAGCATAGGAGAGTGCTGTCTGGACTACGATGGAAAGATGCCTCACAGTTCTTCAGATATAAACTGATGTTCAGGAGACATAGCTGTCATCCACACTTAGCTGAACGATGGACTGTGAGATACCACTGATTTATGTTCAGACTGGGGAGCGCTCGTTTGTTCACTGTGTCTCTTTAAAAATAAGAGACTCAGATCCTGAGTGCATCAGAGGCTCCTTACACCTCTGGGTTTGAAATAAATACTTTGCAGTATAAGATCAACAGGAAGGGTCTATACAGTATGTGTCTGTAGTAAAAGGCACGAAGACTAGGGGGCTACTGTACCTTGTCATGGACACAACAGAAATATTATTGTGGTGTTAATCCCAGATGTAGTTGGTTAACAAAACACACACAGATAATAATACAGTACAAGATAAAATAGTAGAAGTGAGAAAATAGTGTAGTAAATGCAGCCTTTGCAAAACTAAACATTTTATATAAGAATGATAGATTTTACAGACCTTTATTGTAAAATACAGGTTTTTCACTGTTTCAAATCTACAGATTACAAATGAAAGATACTGCACAGACTACCAGTTTCTCCTGCCACCTACCTCAGTAGGGTTCCCTTCCATACCACACTGCAAATAGTCCCTGTGAATTTTCTGGCTGATTCGACTTGCGTTTGTACACAGTTGTGCAGGAGGTTGTGCACCAGAGTGATCTGAGTGAAGGTGCCCTGCTCACCTGGGTTTCACCCCCCAGGCCCTCAGTCTAGAGTGCACAGCCCCGATCGCTCCTGCGTGCTGCTGCTCTTCAGGAAGATGTGTTTCCTCTTTTGGTGTCTCCTGCATTCATGTAAAAATGATTTGCTGGCTCAGGCTTGTAGGGCAGTTCCTGGTGTGGCCGAGTCCCGAGTCCCTGTCGCTGCTGGACTCTGGGTCTGGGTGCTGTGGTTTGAGGCACGCAGGGGAACGGGCCGTAAGGATGGCAGGGACACCCTGTAGTTCTGTCCCTGAACTCGTTCACAACAACAGACCTTCTCACGGCATGTGCAGCACAGGTTAAATGTAGGAAAGAGTGGGAAAGAAGCGGTGCAAACTGGAGTGTGAAGAAAAATATACTGGGAAACCCCTCAGCTGGTCACCACACAGGACACACTGCCTGGCCTGTGCAGGACACTTATATTCCTTAACTAGTGACATGGAGGCTCTGCACAGCACTTACATCAGAGATATAAGAATGATCTTACGTCACCTCTGACACAATTGTTCAAGATCAGTTTGAGCTGCACTGTGCACCAGTCTGAGAGCAGTGCTGAGTGCTGTGGATGGGCATTTAAAAAGCAATATTGATCTTACAGATTATTACTATGTGCAACAGGCCAAAACTGTAGGTATGATGTGTTCATCTATTTAATAAGATAAATACTTTTGATTTTTAGATCGTGATTTATAAGATCTTGAAAGATAAAGTATTTGCAAGAGACTGAACGTTAAATTTAGGGATTGCAGAACTTGTGCTTCATTCCACACACCAATGTGAGAAATGCGACCAATAGGAAGCTGAGGATACAGCATGTATTCTGAAGGAGCAGATGTCATCCTGGGAAGAAAATGGGACTTCAGATAACATCGTAGGATAGGATAGATAACACCACCTTCACACTGTGTGTTGGAGTCATCCCCTTAATAATTATTGTGACAGTGGTAATCACCACATTGAAACTGTTGGTATCTCTTCATATCAACATGTGCTCTGCAGCAGGGAGTTAAAAATATCGAAGTAATTTTGTAGAACAAAGTTGAAGGAGACAGGACATTTATTATTTAATATTTAAGGTAATTGACTTATGCAAATCCAAGTCATTGTGTTAAAAAAGTCATTTTACTCATTTATAATTCCCATATTACTCAGCACATTTAAAACCAGGACCACATCTGGTCCATATTCATTTCCTTCCACTGAAAATAAGACATTAGATTACAAGTACTGATCAATCATTATCTGTTTCACTTCCTGCTTGGCATTCGAATCTGAGCGTTTTTGGCAGTCTGATTTGTAGCAGCGATATGATGTGAGCACTGTGTGACAGAATGGGTTTGTTATTAAGAGATAGAATCCCGTCTCGGAAAAGCTTGTCAGCTGAGGAGACCAAATCACACAAAAGTAATTTTACTAGTATCATATCTCCTCACTGCTGGCTTGATTTGTGACAGCCTGGTTTTATGTTAAATATTCAGACCTCAGTCTTCCCACATGAGTCCCATGGGACTGCGCTGTGTCCTCTGAAAATCTGGATGCTTTTCCTGCACTTCATGATGCTGGATTTCAATGAGGCCATAAAAACACTAACAGGAAATTATAAAAGTATTGCTTTACATATATTGCTCTGACCTGCTTGGGCTTTCAGGAAGAGCGTAGAAGGGATCTATGGAATCTCCCTGTCCCAGCTGTGCACCAGGATCAGCGGACTGTGGGGCGTGGAGTTTCTCTGTGGTTGTCGTAAACCGGCACTTGTGTCACATGAGTTAAGCTGTGAGCCCAGCACCGCCTGACCGTTTAAACATCACGGTGTGACCTGGCCACAAAGCACCTCAGAAGTGTTGCAGAACAAAGGCGCATTGTAGGCCCTGTAGCGGAAGGCGGTTTGTAGCTACAGTTCATTCATTCAAGTAGAGTAACCTCCCTTACAACAGGTTTAACTTTATTTCTTTTAATCACTTCATTCCCCTTCTTTTCCTTTTACAAAAGGGTCCCATTTATAATAAAGTCTGATTTAATCACGAGATTCCATAACAGTTTTCTATGATTCATAGGAATATTCAGCATGAATAATATTGGCTGTATGTTTTCAAGATCTATAACAACATTCTTTTCACTTCCTCGGTCTGCCAGTGTAAAGCATGACAAAACAGCGGCTACTATTTTATATCTGTTTTAATGTCCCGCTGTTTGTCTTTCATCTCATTCATGTAACGGTGTCTAAAATGTATGAATACGGCCAAACTGTTTTGTAAAGTGCACAAGTTTTTATTTACGTAAAAGACAAGAGTCGTTGACTTTGGACAATGGCAAAATACACTGTGATTTTCGTTGCCGTAAAAGTTTTACTAGGGAAATAACGAATATTGTTTGCAATTTGGAATAATCTACTTGCGTTGTTGCACTACTCTTCAACTAGACAGAACACTTGATTCATACCAAATTGGCCTTTGTGGCATATACCATTTGGGAAAATGCTTAAAAACATATACATGCTTTCTTCACATGGTATGACAGTAACAGGGAATGCC